TCTCTCTCTCTCTCTCTCTCTCTCTCTCTTAACCAATCAATCAATTAATCAATCAATGTAATAATCAGTGATACTAACTGTCCTTTATATCTGAAATTAATGAAAAGTTGGCCACCGATGACAGGACCCGATCCCTATCGACCCGAATGGCAAACGTATTGATGAGTCCATTCCCGGTATAAAATTGTTCGCAACTCTTATTGTGTACAATATATTCATTTCGTATGACTTGCGAGACATTGAGATCCCCTTTAATAGTCCGGCACTCGTTATACGTCTCCAATACCTGTTCTGTCGTCACTTATGCCAAATAGATTGCACACAATGTATATAACAAAATATAAGTTTAATTTAAATAAATAAGTATGGTGAGTTTTATTTGCAAGAATTAATAATTGCATTTCAAAATAGCATTAATTTTTATAATGTAGGTAACAATATTTGATTATGATATTTTTACTACTGTCATAAGCGGTATATTATTTATTAATTAGTTTAAAGGACTTTTAAGAACATTTTAGGTCTAACTGTAGATAATTATATTGCATTATACAAGTAATATAATATTTGACATTTATATACTTACCACAATTAATGGTGTAATTTACATTTATAAATAATGTGACATAATTACCTCGCATTTCTTCGTGAACATTACCATAATTGCTATATTCTTGATTTTGATATTTATAAGCATTTGTATAGACTAGAAATTAAAAAAATTATTTTATTAAATAATTTAAATAATTTTATAAATAGTTTATAATTTTATTATAATTAAACAACAATGTAATAATAACTTACAGAATATTATTAAGAAAACTGATATTAAATACAATAACTTTTGAAATAGCATTTTATTGCGAAAAATGTTTTTCACGCAAAAACTATTTCATAAATAATAAGAAAATTTCTACAAAATATTTATTTATATATTTAAATTAAATTATGTTAATATATATTGCTTTTTAAAACATGTGTAGTTTATAACTAGGAAATTAAATAATTGTCAAAAATAAAATTTATTGTTTTTAAAAATATCCAGGATAATAAACCTACAATAAATTAGCATTCATTACATCTGTTTGTATACAAATAAATATTTTTGCATTAATAAAACATTTGTAAATTTAATATTAATTTTAATTATCCAAGCTTAAATAACTTATCATTTAATATAATGACTTTTATTTTAATAAATATATTATTTCAAAACAAACTCACGACTAGTTTCTCGATTATTTCAAAATAAACTTAATTAAATTAGTATTAATAAACCTCCAATAATAACAACAACAATTTAAGTTACCATGGGTAGATAACAATTAAGCAAATAATATTATAATAAACTATCACTAAACACGGTATTTAAAAAAATAAAACATGATAATACCAAGAAAGTAAACACTAACTAACTAACTAACTAAATAACACACAAATTAATCACCATAACCAACCAAGCAATTAATTAGCTTGAAACACGGTAATCTTGAGCTCATCTACATCGAAACTAATAAATGTCTTGTCCTTCCGGTTCAGACAATAATCACCAAAATTATGGGCGAAACAGTTCCAGTGACCGCCATATTCTTCGTCCATCTTGGTCTTCACTTCACCCGCTATAGATTTGAGTGTCTTATGCTTTTTCAATGCTGTAAATGTAATATTTTCCACGTATTTGATCATCGATTCAGTCATATCGGTGTCAAACACCCGGATCTTGGCCTGTATTTTGCCGTCCCGTACCCGTCGGCGCATTAACGGCACGTCCAGCTGTGCCAACATATATTCGGGTTATTGCAAATGAAACATGATCATTATTAAAAATTGATTAATACTGTTTATTTTATTTAGCTGCTTATTTACTGTAACACATTTACTTTGCTAATTATCTACTGGATTCTTTAATTATCTAATTTTTCCTAGTTATTTAAGTTAATAATTGCTTTACAATTAATATATAACATGTTAATAACATGTAACTTGTAAATAATAATAAATTACTCAAGTTATCTCGGTTAACAACTGTGTACACAGTAAAGCTTATAATTTATAATTAATTAAATTAATAAATACAGTCTACTTACAAACTTGGTGCGATAAATCTTAAACGTCAATTTGCCAAACTTGAGCTTCACGTAACAGCTACTATTGGTATAATTATGACCAAGCTTATTATAATTGGTAATCACACACCAGGAGCTGCCCAACTCGTGGTCCAACTTATAGACAATATTTTGACAAATATAATACATGTTATTATTAAATCTCAACTCATTCTTCACGACAGCGACAATCTTATTGGCGGCCATTTCATCGGTGTTGGACTCAGTGATGGTCACCCTTTGGTTCAGGTGTCGGCGACCCTCAGTCAACATCTCATATATGGTGGGCCGACCCAACTCGCCTCCCATTAGGGATTGGGTCGACGATGTTCTCGGTATTGGCGTCAGACCCTAACAGCACATATAAATTGTTAATTAATTAATTAAATAAATTAAGTTAATATAATGAACATAATTCAATAGTATATAATACTATGTAATTAATATAGATAAATATGTAGCTAAATAAATGTTTACTGCCATTGGTCCGCGTGAGGGGGACTCACGCTTAGAACCGCTACGATAGGGTCGTCCACCAGCACCTCCTCCCCCTCCCCCTCCACCACCACTACCGGCGACACAACCATCCGATTGACTATTGCCTGACTTATCAGTAAACTTCTTGAGCTCAGCCTTCAGCCGGTCGTTATCCTTCCGGAGCGTCGCGTTCTCGGCCACCAATTTGTCCCGCATTTCATCAAAGCTGCGCTTTTCCTGCCGGAGCTCTTCGCACCGCTCGCTCTCCTTCTTGTTTAGGGCCAACAACTCCTCCACACAATTGTGCGACACTTTTGATAAACAATAACATTTGTTACACAAACGCAGACTGAATGGACAGTTGTCGGTGTGTTCGCGGAGGCCCTCCAGCGCTGTCACCACTGGACAGCCGCGGTCTCTATAGTCGCACTTGATTTTCATTTTGCCCAACAGATTGTTTAGTAGTCTATGTAAAAAATTAATAATGCTTTGTAATTGCAATTGTAATCTCTCTCTCTCTCTCTCTCTCTCTCTCTC